AGAGACAACTGAAAAAAAAAAAAGCTAATTAATAACATTAAGTGTTTATCCAGCTAGTGCCAGAAGGCAAGGGACCACACTGTCAGCTAGACTAGACAGGGTTGATCTACATAAGAGAAATCAGAATTTCCTTCTTAAGCAAAAAATATCGTACATTTTAAATGGAAAAGAAAAATGTATATATTTATATCAAAACCTATGAATAAATGCAAAAGCACTTCCGGCCTATGTTTCTATGAATTCAATTGAAAACTCAACAAACAAACAAACTGCAAAGATTTAGCTAATATAGCTTTAAATTTAAAGATATTTTATTCTGACAAATGGAGGCGATCTGGTAGTAAGGAACCTATCTCTGAAGAAAAGGCAGGAGTAAGTTAAATCTTCAGTCATGCTGGAAAGCTGTTTGTGGAAATCAGAGAGTAAAAAACTAATGTTGCATCTGGAGATGTAAGTCCTCATATGTAAGACTCTTTCTTCATGGTTTAGAATGGAGTTCAGCTTTAAGGTCTGTGTCATGAACATTTTCAGGACTCGTTTCTAGTAAGATAAGCAATAACAGAAAGTTTTCCCTAGCCCTAACTGTAAAAAACAAGCCTACTGTTTAATTACTGTTAAATGGCAAATTTCCAGGTGATCCCACAAACAGGTGGGTGATAGGGTTCTCCAGGACCCTTCAGAAAGCAAATGAAAAAAACCCAACAAAAGACTTATGCAATAATAACCAAATAGACAGCTGAGGTTACCCTGACAGGTGGTACAGCCTGTGATAGTTCTAGAAAATCCTCGAGTTTCCATGAACAGAAACTTTATCCCAGAGCTTTAGGCAGATTTTATATCTCCTGTGATCAGACAGCAAAGTCTGTGGACAGTAAGGACTTTGATCTGTCTTCATGGTTGTGAGTTTTCAGAATAATTTTGATTTGCCCATACAGTGATGTTGCTGAGAAGAAAATGGCCTACCAGCTTTTGTTCTGAGTGAATTTATTTTGAGGATAGATCGCTTCATATCCAGATATGTAGTCCAGACTGGTGGCAATGGCATTTATAACAGTGTGCAGATCTGCCAGGATGAGACAGATTCACCTATCCAATCACAGATGGTAGAAAATATGACTCACAGATGCTGCTGTGTGAGAGCTTGGCTTCAGCAAGGATTCAGGAGCACTTGCATAAATGGATTTTATTAGCTACCATGTATTTCTCCAAAGGCTGATTTACGACTTGCTAGAAGGAAAATGAAAAGAGGAAAAAAAAACAAAAAAAACCAAAAAAAAACAAAAACCTTCCTCTTAAAGAAAAATGACATTTTTGATTGTGTGGAGCCTCACTAGCTCATTACTTTCTTTTGTCAGACAGAGAATTTGTTGGATTGGCAAGATCTGAGTCAAGACTCCTTCAGTGCATCTGGTGATTCCCGAGGAGTGAATGTACTGAGCTTAAGGAGTTCTAGTGGGTGGGAGTGGTGGCTGGGGAGAGGGAAAGCTGTGCTTCCTGCGGGTAGAAGGGGAGAGCAGCACGTCTTTTAGAAGTGCTGTTAGTGATATATCAGTGGCATTTCTCAGGGCAAATCTCTTTTAGGACAAGCTGCTAATAACTGGCAGAAGTGAAAAATAATTGAACCTCGGTGTTTTGTCCTGAAATTTAACATTCTGGTGGAGAGTTCTGCTTCAGAGCTGTATTCCAGCAGTGCTTTTGCCAAGGACAGAGAGGCACTGTGATGGGTTTGGGAGGCAGCCCCAGGTGCTGTGCATTCAGCCCTCTCACCCTGCAGCAGCACCAGCACCACTGTGTTTTACAGAGCTCATCACGCTGGGGTAGGTCACTTAGGTTATCTTATGGGCTTTCTTTTGCTTGCCTTCCTCCTGGCTGTCTGGCAGAAGTAAGGGATGAATAATACCTGCTGCCAGTGACAGCTGCTGTTCTACAACTCCCCTTCTGTCCAGAAAAGGGCAGAGTAATGCAGGAAAAAATACTCCAAGAGGTATCCAAGGAAGAGCTCAACTGTTTGCTCTATCTCTACTTTTATCTTTTTCTAATAACTACCTGTCCAAAAAGATGTTACCAAACTAAAATACTGATCTACAGTAGTGCAAGGTCAGGTACAAATGAAAGATATACAAGAGCAAGGAGAAATGATGTGATAACATTAGCAATGTGGTCATGAATAGGAAGTTATTTATTTTGATTCTGTGAGTGGATTATCAGTATTACTGCTTTTAATAATATCCTTTCACTCTTTTGCTTCTGGCATTGCTGTACCAGATTGATTAATATTACCAGGGGCTGGCAAATCTGAATCCAATGCAATCCAATCCAATCCTTACTTTCAATATGAAGATAGTTCATATAAATATGGAAGACATTGGGCTGCTTACCTATCCTAGGTAAATTGTTTGCATTTCGCTCCTGAGGCTCCTCAGCTTCTCAAGAGAGGAAAAATCCCAGCAAAGGATTTTTCATAATATCATGGCTACAGAAAGATAAGATATTTTGAGGGGAATCCAATCCAATCCTTACTTTCAATATGAAGATAGTTCATATAAATATGGAAGACATTGGGCTGCTTACCTATCCTAGGTAAAATGTGCACTATTTCCATTTGAAAGATAAGATATTTTGAGGGTTTTTTTTTCAAGGAACCCTTTTGGCTTAGAAGAGCAGAGGGAGCCATTTCTGGCAAGATGCTTTCACATAGCTTTTAGTTCGTCAAATGCATATTTTTAGCTGAAGTTAATTGTCTTCACCTCCTCTTAGGGGGTGGGAAGTGAGGAAGGGAGGGACATGTTTCAGACCACTAATTTTTCTGACTCTAAATCTTACCTAGGATAGGTAGGATGAATTGTCTTTTAAAGGCTTTTGTCCCTGCCCACTGGCTACTGAGAAAGCCTAAGCATGTTCAACAGCCAACTTCAGTAAAATAAACTACATCAGTTAAAAAGGAAGACCAACTAAAATATGCCAATACAATAAATTCCCTAGCCATTTAAGAGGGAGGAAAAGAAATTTGAGTTAAGGTGTCAACATTTAATCTAATCCATATTCACTATGGACTTCACTTCCCATTTTTTTCTCTTCCATGTCTCTACTCATACGAGGAGCAGTATTAGGCGTGTTTCACCCAAGACCTGTTTGCAGGCATTAGAAAAGAGATTGAAAAACACATGGGCCTTTTTAACAAAGGCTAACCTGTTCCTTTTCAGCTGTGATTGCCGCTTGATAAACAGCTAAAAGGTCAGACATAGTTCTGTTTTCCCAAAGAAGAAAAGGGACCAAGTTTTGTCTGAGAATCTTCGCTTAATAGCTGCTTTCATTTTAGCTTTATGAAGAAACACATTTCAACAGTCTTCCCCCCGCTGCAGAGCACACCAGGGCACCTCTTCCTTGCAAAGTTCTCCTTGCCAAATCATCCAGCAGCAAGACATACCACCATGAAAGCTGCACCCTCCCCTTTCACCTGCCCTCTCCAGACATGCCTGTGCTGTCTCAGAGTTCTGAGATGGGTGCACTGCTTCCTTGCTGCCACAAACATGTGGAAAGCATCACTTTCCAGTGCTTTATGGCAGTGGTAGCTACATGGATTTACGTAACTGGTCTCAGGAAATGAAAATGTTGTATCAAGTCCTTTAGCTCATTCTGATTTCTAGCCTTTATTTTACTCTTAGTTTATTCCAAATTATTTATAAAATAAACCAGCAGATTAACAAAAAGTGGTGCCCAATGTTGCCGAAACATCTTTCAAAATAGAAAAGATATCACACCAAGCAAAAAACCAGACTTTCTCAAGTCCTTTATACATTATTTCAAATTTTTTGTCATTTTCATAATTTCCTTCAGCTTGATAAGAATGTAATGCAAATACAATTTATTCTACGCAGGAATACTGACCTTGCCTCTATTAAGATTAGCTGACACTTCTGGCTCTTTAATGCACTTTTGAAATACTAATAATTTCATCAAATTGAACTGAAATAATCACAACTTTCTTAAGCTTCTCAGGCTTAATATTTTTGAATATTTCATTTGGATTAAGTCAGCTGTTTCCCAGAATGGAAACTTGGAAAAAAAAAAAAAGATGTGTATTTGTCCATGTTAAAGCAATTTAGCAGTAGCTTTTGACTATTGGATGAGTGTTCCTAATAATGGAGGTAGATATTAATTAAGAAACCATGACCATGGGCTCAAGAACACTGAAATAAAATTAATTTAAGCCTGATATTTCAACATGATTACAACTTGGCAACTGAAACAATGCAACTGCAGTATATTTTTTTCTGCATTGCTACGTGTACAACAGTAGAAATTACATAGGGATTGCATGCAGTTATAAAAGACTCTAATACATGGTTTGGTTTTTTATTTTTATCAGCAACTCTTGTTTTTCTCTTTTGAATCTAAACCCCAAGCAAAATTAAAGCATGTTTTACATGAGATGTGCATTAAAGTCTCTGACCTTTGTAATATAGAAAAAACACATCATTCCTTCCTGCTCCCTGGGTAATAGAGGCAAATATTAAACACATAGACACAAAAAACCTCCAAAATAAACTTTTGATAGCTTCTGCATTTTCCAAGAAGGTTATGAAAGAGTGAGCACTAAATCTTAGTGAAAACTACCTCAATGCCTTCTACTCTGAGAGGTTGATGAACATTTTTCCCCATTTGCATGCATAAACACAGTAGTGGCTCCCTAGAATATACCTTTCTCATTTTCCAGGAGTTAATATTAAACCTGGATTTCAATATAAATGTTTGAGAGTCTTCCCAAAGTCTTTTTAGAAGTGGGAAAGCACTTCAGATACTTCTAATAACCATGAAATGAACGAAAATAATTTGTCTTGCTTTCATCTTTCTATACTTGTTTTCTTTGTTCATTGTTAAAAACCTTTACTATTAGCAACCTGTGTCTTTCTCCCTATATAGGAATAAAGCTGTATAGGGTCTATCTGTGGCTCATGGGAATCTCCCTACTTCTTTTTTCTTTTTTTTTGTCTCTCCAGATCATTAAAGACCAGAAGCTACTGGGGATAGTTGGAGGGATGCTACTGATTGATCTTTGCATCCTGATTTGCTGGCAGGTTGTGGATCCTTTGAGGAGGACAGTGGAAAAGTATAACATGGAGGTACGTCCTCAAGCCCAAGTAATACTAATGGTTGCATATCAGTATCTATAGCTATCCATAAGATTAAGCTAAAGATGCATTAGGTAAAATGAAAGCAAGTCATGCTGTGTATTTTGGGGGAGGAAGGGTTCTGGTTTTCAAAACCAAATAGAAAAGAAACAACTGCAACAAAAAGAAATTGTGTATGTAGTTGCAGGTGCCACATTTCTGTCACTTGTGAGACATTTCATTTGCAAGGGTTGTAAACACAGGAGAGTCCTCTGCTAAGACTCTCTGTTAAAGTCTGTTGCAATAAATAATAGATTATCAGAACCCATTAGTGAATTTCAGTAAGAGCTCATTGAAGATAAGTGCAGGAGAGGTCACTGCTTAGACTGCATTCTTTGTGGAGATGGTCAGGAATTATGTTACCTACTGCTATATTTATTTGCAGTAATTTTATGTGCATGCACCCATACTGATTGTTCCTCTTTTAATGGTATTCCCAGAAAGGTCACACAAGCAATTTTGATAGGCAGGAGGTAATAGCTTACTGCCAGCTGTACACACTTTGCAACACTCTGGTTGGTTTCTAGAAGCGGAGCTGAAGTAGAGCTTTCTGGACAAACTGACAGCAAGAACCATGGCAGCAACAATTTATACCTAGGAAAAAAACATCCATCTGTATGTAGATGTGCATTGTTTGAGAGTTTATTGCCTCCAACATGGAAACTGGTGATATCTGAAAGCTAGATCATATGAGGACAATCTGGAAGTGTTAGTCTCTTCTCCTGTACTTGGCAATCAGTAAGAAAAAGAACAGTTGTTTTCTCTTCTGATGTTAACATTTGCAAGAAAATATATACCATTTCACTCCACTGCTTTTACTTTGTTCTTACTTTGCAGTGTAGCTCTGGAAATTTATTAGGAGAAGATATTACTTTTTTGGTATAATTTGTAGAGGATACCCTAGAACAATGCATCTTAAACTGCAAGGGATTTCTTTGAAAAAATAATTTTAGAATCTGAAAAGATTTGTCTCAGTCATTCCCTAGAGTTTGAAAGACTTCCCAGCTAATACAATTGTCAATAAAAAATAGAAAATGTAGCTGAAATTTGTCTGCTGGTCTATGTGTGTATAGCTTGAAGCCATAGCAGCTTGTTGAGAACCTTGTTTATTTCGTTTTGCTCCAATTGTATTGTAAATGATATTTCAGTTGTCAGTATTGTTAAAATTTTCTCTGCTCTTCTGAACCCAAACATATTATGACAAATAGTCACAAAATCCAATTAAAATAATCTCAGATAGAAGGAATTTTGCTTTCGTTTAAACTGAAATCCTGATATGTAGTCTTACTAGATTCACTTGAGTATAATGTCCATAGACAGCAGCAGTAACTGTGAAGTTAAACCATAAGTACCATATATTTAAAAAACAATGTTTACTGTAGTTTTAAATGATTGCAATTTCCATCTGAACTTTCCAGTGTATATTCTTTGATCATCTAATATATCATGCTAAAACTTTGTGGGCTTTTTCCACATTTGGGGCTTTCCAGACCGCGGGGCTGCACACCACTTGCCTGAACTTTGCATAAGAACTGAAATTCTCCTGGAATTATATAAGCCCATGCAAAGTGACACTCACTGGATTCACACATGGCAATGTTTACTATTTTGATCCCTCAGCATAGAATTGACTTGAACTTACTGTTAGAGCTCTTAGCTATTACTGTAAGTTGCACAGAATATTTTTTAAGCTAATGGATTTGGGGTGGGAAGGAAATAAAAGTATCATGCTATAAATGTAGTCATTAAACTATTGTATGTGCATAAAATATGTTACTATAAAAACAGTGAGGTGAACTGCAATTTACTTTCCTGGAGCACACCTCTTTGGGTCTCAAAAAATCCTGTGTAAAAGTAAATGACAATTGTCTTTGCTGCTATAATTATTATTGTTGTTGCTGTTGTTATGTTATTTTTTAATTTTTAGGTTGCTAAAGTGTAATGGTGAATTCTTTAGTTGATTTGATTGAGCATATATTATCTTTTCTGTGTTTGAAAAATACTTGCCACATAGTAAACAGTACTGGTGATAAGTTTCTGTTTTATTTCAGGAATATTTTGTAGTGCATATTTCTTGTCCCACTTGATTCTGTGAAATAATTTTAAAGGGATTATTTCTGTCAGTTAATGATAGTCGAAGTGATAAAGATTAAACTAAATGCAGGCTCCAAAGTTATCAATTCAATCAGTCATTCTAGCTAATGAACCATTTGAGCTCTGTTTATGAATACTCATCAGCTTCCTACGTGATAGCTCTGCATTTGGCTTCTATCGGGTGACCCTCTGTTAGTTGTGTCTTCATAAGCACATGAATCAAAGGAACCAAGACAAGAAGCCTAAAGACTGGTAATGTCCTGTGCTGTTTGCTATTATTCACAAAATCGTTCATTTTAGTGAAGCAACAGCAGTAAATTATCAAGAACTTTTTAAGAGTTCCTAAACCCAGAACTTTAAAATCCAGGCTCCTTTCCTGGAGCTGTTTGCAAAGGCTAAGCAATCCATACCTTACAATCTGAGGATAGGCAGACTAAATGTAAAAATACAAAGGGAAGTGAAGGCATTTTTAGAGACTCTCTGGCTGTTACAGAAGACAGAAATCCTATGGAATGTTGGATCTGTCAGTTTTCAGACCAATTTCTGGCATCCTGGCCCTACAGGTATGGTATTTTTAGGAAAAGCACGCCTGTGGCTGCCATAAGAGACCATGTTAAAAGTTTTAATGACTGAACCATAAAGCATCCAGATCCTCTAGTCATCAGCAGGGAAAGTAGTTTATGGTAGATGGACAATAAAGTTGTTGGATAAAATAAAAGAGGTTAAAGGCCAAGGCAGGGACAATGTTAAAACTTCCCTAACTGTACAGGGATCTGCAGAAGAACCATAACAGTGTCCCTATGTATTTTTCCTAAGAGTGCTGTAGGCTTGATTTTTACATAATGCAAAAAGAATTTGATGACACAAAGGGCTTCTAATCTTCAAGGAACAGCGAAAAAAAAAAAAAAAAAAAAGGGAATTAATCCATGTTACCTCTATTTATCTGTTTTCCTAGTTTCCCTGCCTGTAACGTTTCTCCTTTTGCTAATTTTTCAGACCAGTGGAGAGACCAATCATTTTTTTTCCTCACTAATTTCTTTCTAGGCTGAACTAGGAATTTGCTTTTTTCATCATGATTCACCTTTTTTGTCATAATCAAAATGGTTGTGCTCATATCTGGGCTAGGTCTCTGCCGGACTGTTTCCAGTCATGTGAACTGGAGTGCATCCTTCCTTCACCGTCTCACTGGCTGGGCTGCCCATGAGGAACTATGGTGCTTCTGTGAATGCTGCTGTAGAAGAAATTTGCAAGGCTCTGCCATTGTTTGCTTTTTGACCTGCTTTCTCAAGAAGGCAATGTTTATGTGCTAGGGTGTTCTGTGTGATTTTTTTCCTACTGCCTAACAAACTTTGCCTCTTTCGTCAAACCTGAAAAATTTGAGCAGATACAGCTCTTAAAGACATAGGACGACAACAGACTTGCTGGAAACAGCCAGCTGTGTAGAGGAGAGGTTCTGGTGGTGTCTCCTCTAAGAGAAGGGTCACAGAGTGAGTTTAGCCCTTTGTCTAAAAACAGGTATTTTGAATTACTTGCTACAGGGGAACTTCACTCTTAGCTGAAGAGAATCCAGCCACAGAAAAGAATACTAAGGAAACCAGCTCCCTCTAATTTCAGTTGCTCAGCTGTGTTGGAATGAAACCACAGTCTGAAATAACAAAATCCTTTAGAAAGGGTAGTCTGTGCAACAGCCATATCATAATTCAATCATGTACTTAGCACAGTGGAAAGGGTCCATGTGTACACATGCACTCACACTCACCGCTCGCTCACAATTAGCTCAGCTAGTCAGAGCATGGCACTGATAATGCCAAGGCCAAGTGTTCAGTCCCTCTATGGTCTATTCACTTAAGAGCTGGACTCAGTGATCCTTGTGGGTCCCTTCCAACTCAGAATAATCTGTGATTCTATGGTGTAGTAACTCTTTTACTCTAGAGTTCAGATTGAAAGCCTCTGACTGTTTTATCTTCTCCCAACACAAATATCTATGAAACAGATTGGATCTCTGTGGCCTTGGAAGGTAGACAGTGATAATATTTAATAAATAATAACTTGTAAGGGAAATGGACTACCTTTTATAATTCCCAAGATAAAAATATCTTGCATTAGTGTTAGATTCAATGAAAGTAATATCTTGCATACTGGATGCCAATATTTCTTGTAAAATTTTAAAACGCTTATCCAGGGCCGCAGCCTTTGTATTCCTTGATGTCTTGGTACCAATTAAGTAGTTATTTCTGTGATGTTTCCTCTTATGCATTCTTATGATAGCATTATCAATATTTAAGAATAAACTTCATTCTGGTATCTGGAATACCAGCATTTAAGGTTTCACCCTAATTTGTCCTGGGATGGTAATAAACATAAAATAGAGAAAAAAATCTGAATGAGATGCCATTTTAGAAGACACAGAAGAGAAAAAGAGATCAATGAGACATGTCCTATTTGGCTTCTAGCATTGATATAAATGTAAAATTCAGAAACCAATATGAGGAAACCTTATATGAGGATGTTGTAATAACAAAAATGCCAATATGCAGGAAAGATTACTGGGCTGTGCCAGTGTCAGAGTAGTGCAGTATGTTAAAGAAAAGTCAATTCATACTACCAAATTAATAATTTCAGTGAGTGAGACAGAATTCCTATGTATTACAAGTGTATAACAGTGCCGTCAGACACAACAAGCCAGAAGTTCAGCTTTGGCTGATATGTTGAGGGACTCAAAAACATTGCAAAATCAAAACAAATGTGCTGCTCAAACTAACTCCTTTATAATTCAACAGATTAGAGAACCCACAGACAGAGACTTAACCCTTGATTTCTTTCTGAATAGCACACAGAATCCATTCCAACGTCTTGAT